TATGACCTAATAAAGGTAATACGTCGTGAGCACTGCATACTATTTAAGTATTTAGGTCTCCAAGTCCCATGATAGCTCATGATGAGCTAATCTAGAATGTTCTCGCACTGATCTGAAATATGGCATCCCTTCAAGTTTAACTTTGTTAAGCTACCCTTTATCCTGCGTTAATAGTGTAAAATAATATTCGATAATAACAATAAGAATTGTATTACCTGGGAAAGCTTTTTATTGATTTCCATCTCTAGAGAGAGATTATGACTGAAACTGTCTCCACGATAGTCAAAACAGACAAAATGACAAAAACATTTGCTGACGTTGTGAAGAATACAGAAAGTATCATTGGCCGCGAGACGAAGAAATGTTTCGAGAACAGTTTAGCATCTGCGCTTAAGGAAAGCCAGTCTGAGATTGTATCTCAGACCACAGCTCGACAGGAAGCTGATGTGTTCGACAAAGAGAAGCGTATCAGGAACGTCGTGATCACTACTGTTCCCGAGAGCTCACTAACAGAGATAAAGGACAGGATCGCAGCCGATAAGCTGATAGCTGCCACGGTTCTAGATGTCACAACCGACCAGATAGAACGCTGCTACAGAGCTGGTCCCCCTCTCGGGTCTGGCTCTAATAAGGAAAGAACAAAGCCACGACCCCTTGTTGTTGTGCTTGCGACACCAGATCTTGCCCGTAGCAAGCACAAGTACGGAAATGGCTGCAAGGTTCTCAAGGATGGTGAGGACTACTGGATAAATCCAGACTTATCCCAGGCTGAAAGAAGGGCGAACTACGAGGCGCGGCAAAAAAGACGGGAGCGGACGAAGGACAGTGGTTCCAAGGGACTATTGACAGGTGGTACGGAATCGGAAAACTCCGGCAACGTTGCGACCTATTAGCTGTCTCTAGTTATAACTCTAAACTAAGAAACAATGCTAGTCATTTTCTGAAAGTTTTTTATTCAAATGCAAATGACTTGAAGAATAAAATCAGTGAACTGCAAATTGTAGCCGAATCCAGCGACTGCAAGGTTTTGGGAATTACAGAAACAATGTTCAGTGCAGATGTGTATGATGCAGAGGTAGCATTAGCGAACTTTAGGCTGTATAGAGTAGATCGATTAACGGGGAAAGGTGGTGGTTCTTGTATATATGTGCATGATTCTATCCAATCTCACAATGTAACAATAAATGTACCTGATTGCATATGTGTCATGCTAAATTCTGATTGTATTGATATTGCATTATTTGTTATATACCGATCCCCTTCATTAACAATCGATAAGTGTCAATCAATGTTATCTAATCTGTCCGTAGCGATTGAAAATCTAGCCCCTAATACCGAACTAATCATGATGGGAGATTTCAATCTTCCTGATGTTGTGTGGGATTTAGGTGTAGTTAAATGTCCGAATAATTCAATTAATCAAAAATTCCTGATTCAACAGTGCTATCTTGATTTTTTCGCAAAACATGATCTCAGTTGGGTTATCGGAGACGATGTTAAAACTCGCAGAAGGAAGGTTTTAACAACAGTGCAATCGTCAACTCTTGACAATGTTATGACTTCAGACCCCGCCATATTTCAGGAAGTTCAAATAACCGCACCGCTGGGAAAATCAGACCATGTGGGAATTATCAGTAAGTGGTCAATTGCTAACCATGATGAGTATGTGACTCAACAGAAGAAAAATTGGTCAAAAGCAAACAAAGATCTAATCATTGATACAGCAGGGCCGCTGCAATGGAGTGCCAATCATGACTTGACTATTGAAGAGCACTGGAATCTGATTCAGGCCAATGCCAACACCATTGCTGAAGCTGTTCCAGTCGTCAAATTGAGGATAAATCGTGCAGGTGCAATAAAATCACGATCGGTCTGGGACAAACCATGTCTAATCAAGGCACGGAAGCTAAAAGAAAAACTGTGGTCTATTTTTGAAAACGACCCGACATCAAAAAACCTGAATCATGCACTACATCAGCAGAGTGCTTACGAGAAGAAGCAACAGCAGCTCATGATATGCTATGAGAATAAAGCAGCAGCCCAGCTAAAAATAAATCCAAAAGCTTTCTACAGCTATATGAACTCCAAGCGCAAGATTAGGGCTGCAATATCTGGAATCAGAGATGCTAGTGGGGATGAACTCCACTCAGCACATGATATGGCTAACCAACTTGGGATTTTCTTTGAGAGCACGTTTGTAAAGGAGGATCAGGCCTCAATACCTGACCCACTACCCGGAGACAGCGCAAAGGAGACGATTCCTGACCTGAAATTCAATACAAGTGAAGTTCAAGATCAACTTCGTAAAGTTAACATCTGGAAGTCCGTTGGACCTGATGATATACACCCCAAGCTTTTGAAAACACTAGCCGAAAACAAACAGTTTGCTGATTCAGTCACAGCACTGTTCCAAAAATGCTACAACGAGGGAAAGATTCCCGAAATCTGGAAGCAGGCAAATGTCACTGCATTGCATAAAAAGGGGGATAAATCCCAAGCCAGCAATTATCGCCCTATTAGCCTAACGTGCGTTCTTTCCAAGATCTTTGAGAGGTTTTTAAGGAACCATATTCTAGCTCACGTATCCCCCATGATTGTGAATGAACAACACGGTTTCCTACCAAAAAGATCCTGCGTCTCGAACCTACTGGAATGTATGGACATTGTCAGTGAGATACTAGAGAAGGACGGGTCAGCTGATATACTGTATCTCGATTTTCAGAAGGCTTTCGATTCTGTACCACACAAACGATTGCTGAGAAAATTACAATCCTTTGGAATATCTGGCAACACCCTTGCAGTCGTGGAAGACTTTCTAACAGGAAGAACATTTCGCGTCAGGGTTGGATCATCATTTTCTAGAGTGTTTGCTGTAACATCTGGGGTCCCTCAAGGAACCGTGCTGGGCCCCCTGCTCTTCCTGCTCTTCATAAATGATCTCCCTGATGGAATTGAGAGCTTCGTATCACTCTTTGCGGACGATCTTAAGCTAGTAACGAGCACAGCTAAGCACAGTGTTGCACAAGATGATATACTGAAACTCAATGCGTGGGAGAAGGAATGGCTCCTAAGATTCAATGTGAAGGATGGCAAGTGTAAGGTACTACATATTGGGCGTAACAATCCAATGCACGAGTACTTCATGAATGGGGAACGCCTCCCCCAAGTGAAGGCAGAAAAGGATCTTGGAGTTCTAACTACCAGAAACCTGGACTGGAGTGATCATATAGATAAGTCCGTGAAAAAAGCAAAGTCTGTTATAGGCTGGATCAAACGAAGTTTGATCTGCCGTAACAAATTTGTTATGCTAAATGTCTACAGAACTCTAGTTCGACCTCACATCGAATACGCTGTGCAAGTGTGGAATCTACCAGCAGAGCACGGAAACTGGAGGACTATTAAGAAGATAGAAGACGTTCAGAGAGAATTTACACGAATAATCGACGGGATTGGTATCCTACCATACGATGAGAGACTGAGAATCCTCCAGTTAACAACACTACTGGAGCGCCGTATGAGGGGTGATCTTATTGAAACCTTTAAAATAACGACGGGTAAAGTGGACTATGGACAAGATCTTTTCAGGATATCACGTAGCGGTACCAAGATCCTAAAAGATAAAAGAGGAAATCAGGTCCTCAGTAACCGTGTTGCCAATTACTGGAACAAAGTACCAAGTTCGGTTAAAGAAGCCAGTTCAGTAGACGCATTCAAAGCTCGACTTCAATGTTATAAAAATGAACTGATAGCGAGTGGAGCATCGTCAAAGGGTCACTTCTGGGATCTCAGCGAAACCTTGATGTCAAAAATAAATACATGTGAGCATGATTCATATGCACATTTCATGTCTAATAACCCATTGATTGCTAAATACCGAGGAATCAATGTTTCCTGATTGTTAAATTCAGAACTACATGTTAACGTCCTAAAAATAATTAATCATTAAATGTTCCGGATAGGAACATTTTTCTTTTTGATAATATTGTGCGAACTGCAATAGCGTAGAGTGCAGTTGGGTTTCAAGTTTTTGTCGAGATGGCCATGTGGCCATAATCCTATTATTATTATTAGAGCCAATTAAATTCCATTTTCAACAAATGAATCAATGGATTGAAGTGAAAAATAATACGCGTGTTTGTTGAGCAAGTCAATTTTCGGCAATTAAAACCTGCCAACCAAAATTCGAATAGGAACGAGGTAATTTCCATAATGTAAATGTTTGTGATGTCACGTCCCGACTGTACAACTAACGCTAGTACTGGTTGTTCATGATAGCTACTTCATACTAGCACGTATAATAGCTTAACCCCTGCTGACGATCAAAATTTTTGTAAGATAATGTACCAGTCAACCAGTTGACCGGAAGAGCAGAATGGTTGGCCAGAATTAAAACAGAACAACTAACGCCACCCGTTTTCGAAACAATGAGAGCTTTGTATTACACAACATCCTCCTCGCTGGAAAAATAGGCACAGTTCACCTTTATGTTTTATAATCACACAAATTCTGTCTATAAAATATTCATAAATCTAGTTAAGCAATGAAATCATTAAATGGAAATAAAATATTATCATGTATATTGTAGGTATACATCTCAATAGTCAATATTGAAAATAATTGTGAATTCGTTCACTCATTTTCACTTTTTCAGACAGCGAAGTCAAGAAGTACATTCCTAATGGTAGTACAGTACAGTACAGTAGCGTACACAGTACAGTACAGTAGCGTACACAGTACAGTACAGTAGCGTATACAGTACAGTACAGTAGCGTACACAGTATAGTACAGTAGCGTACACAGTACAGTACAGTACAGTACAGTACAGTACAGTACAGTACAGTACAGTACAGTACAGTACAGTACAGTACAGTACAGTACAGTACAGTACAGTACAGTACAGTACAGTACAGTACAGTACAGTACAGTACAGTACAGTACAGTACAGTACAGTACAGTACAGTACAGTACAGTACAGTCAGTGTAGTCTGGTTATCGTAAACTCATCTTAACACAAGTAAAATGTCTGGTTCTGGATGTTTTCTCACGTCTATGTTGAATGGACTACCCTTGATATGTTGGTCCTCCAACTTGATGTTGATAGTGTACTTTCCGGCTGCTTCAGGGTTGTAAGTACAGTTTACTGTCCGTCTCCCTCCTTTCCATGTTTTTACTCGGAATTTGTTTTTTGGTCCATTCACTCGCACAGTTAGTGAACCCTGTAAGGCATCTTTAGTGAAAACTTTGAAGTCGCCCTGATCACCCACAAAACAGTCCATCAAGCCCGGACCCTCTGCCCATATCGCTTCCGGCAGTTCACTTGTAACGGAGGGTATGTCGACGTTCAGTGGCTCAACTGCAACAGCTGGTGCTTCCATTTCCACAGATCGTCTTTCAACTTCAACAGCTGGTCTTTTGAGTTCACTTACTGGACGTTCCCTGACTTTTATCTTGAATGGACTGCCTATGATATGTTCATCCTCCCACTTGATATTGATGGTGTACTTTCCCGCTACTTCTGGGTTGTATCTACAGGTAACTGTCTCTTTCGCTTCCTTCCATTCAGTTACTTGAGATTTGGCTTTGGATCCCTTTACTTCCACACTCAGTGTACCGTGTCCAGCATGTTTGTTTAATATTTGAAAGTCGCCCTGATCACCCTCAAAACAATCCATCAATCCCGGACCCTCTGCCCATACATCTTGCGTCTTTCCAATTTTACCATTTGGGGACTTGTTTTTGAAAGCTTTAAATATTTGACGTTTCAACATGGTTACCTGGAATTTGTTGGTTGTTTTGACTTTAACTCCTACTTCAGAGCCAGTCGGCGATTCGATTGGTGCCTCTATTTTGACAGCTGGTGATTCTGCATACATGACTAATTTTTCGACTGCTGCCTTTTCGGCTGGTGTTTCAATTTCAGTATTTGTCGTGTGAACTTGGACAATTGGTGTTTTCATTTGGACAGCTGGTTTTTCGATTTCGAAAACTGGCGCTTCGATTTCGACAACTGGTGCTTCAATCTCTACAGCCGGAGACTCAATTTCGACAAGTGGTGCTTCAATCTTTACAGCTTGTGATTCGATGTCGACAACAGGTCCTTCAATCTCTACAGTTGGTGATTCGATTTTGACAACTGGTGCTTCAATCTCTACAGCTGGTGGTTCAATTTTGACAACAGGGCCTTCAATCTCTACAGTTGGTGATTCAATTTCGACAACTGGTGCTACAATATCTACAGCTTGTGATTCGATTTCGACACCAGGTGTTTCAATATCTACAGCTTGTGATTCAATTTCGACAACTGGTGCTTCAATATCCAGTGATTCGATTTCGACAACTGGTGCTTCAATCTTTACAGTTGGTGATTCGATTTCGACAACAGGTGCTTCAATTTCTACAGGTGGTGTTTCAATTTCGACAACAGGTCCTTCAATCTTTACAGTTGATGTTTTGATTTCGACAACTGGTGCTTCAATCTCTAAAGCTGGTGCTTCAATCTCTACAGCTGGTGATTCAATTTCGAAAACTGGTACTTCAACCTCTACAGCTTGTGATTCAATTTCGACAACTGGTACTTCAATCTCTACAGTTGGTGATTCAATTTCGACAACAGGTTCTTCAATCTCTTCAGCTGGTGATTCGATTTCGACAACTGGTACTTCGATCTCTACAGTTGGTGTTTCAATTTCGACAACAGGTTCTTCAATCTCTACAGCTGGTGATTCGATTTCGACAACTGGTACTTCGATCTCTACAGTTGGTGATTCGGTTTCGACAACTGGTGCTTCAATCTCTACAGTTGATGTTTCGATTTCGACAACTGGTGCTTCAATCTCTAAAGCTGGTGCTTCAATCTCTACAGCTGGTGATTCAATTTCGACAACTTGTGCTTCAATCTTTACAGTTGGTGATTCGATTTCGACAACTGGTACTTCAATCTCTACAGTTGGTGATTCAATTTCGACAACAGGTTCTTCAATCTCTACAGCTGGTGATTCGATTTCGACAACTGGTACTTCGATCTCTACAGTTGGTGTTTCAATTTCGACAACTTGTGCTTCAATCTTTACAGTTGGTGATTCGATTTCGACAACTGGTGCTTCAATCTCTACAGCTGGTGATTCGAGTTCGACAACTTGTGCTTCAATCTCTACAGTTGGTGATTCGATTTCGACAACTGGTGCTCCAATCTCTACAGATGGTGATTCGATTTCGACAACTGGTACTTTGATCTCTACAGTTGGTGTTTCAATTTCGACAACAGGTCCTTCAATCTTTACAGTTGGTGATTCGATTTCGACAACTGGTGCTTCAATCTCTACAGCTGGTGATTCGAGTTCGATAACTGGTACTTCGATCTCTACAGTTGGTGATTCAATTTCGACAACAGGTCCTTCAATCTCTACAGCTGGTGATTCGATTTCGACAACTGGTACTTCAATGTCTACAGCTTGTGATTCAATTTCGACAACTGATGCTTCAATCTCTACAGCTGGTGTTTCAATTTCGACAACTGGTCCTTCAATCTCTACAGTTGGTGTATCAATTTCGACAACTGGTGCTTCAATCTCTACAGTTGGTGTTTCAATTTCGACAACTGGTCCTTCAATCTCTACAGTTAGTGTTCCAATTTCGACAACTGGTACTTCAATCTCTACAGCTGGTGTTCCAATTTGGACAACAGGTCCTTCAATCTCTACAGCTGGTGATTTGATATCGACAACTGGTGCTTCAATTTCTACAGTTGGTGATTCGATTTCGACAATAGCTGGGGCTTCAATTTCATCAGCTGGTGATAACGCTTCGTTATCGACAAATGCTGCTAGTGCTTCTATTTCCAAAGGTGTTATGTCCACTTCAACAGCTGGAGGTTCAATTTCATCGGCTAGTGATTTGATTTCGACAGTTAATGCTTCCACAAATGATATATCAACTTTGACAATTGGTGTTTCGTTTTCGACAGCTGGTGTTTCGATTTCGACATCTGGTTCTTCGATTGCCAAGGCCGTTATTCCCACTTCAACAACAGCTGGTCTTTCGACTGTTTCAATTTCAGCATCTGGTGTGTCAATTTGGCCACATGGTGTTACCATTTCGACGGATGGTGATTCGATTTCGACATCTGGTTCTTCGATTGCCAAGGCCGTTATTTCCACTTCAACAACAGCTGGTCTTTCGACTGTTTCAATTTTAGCATCTGGTGTGTCAATTTGGCCACATGGTGTTACCATTTCGACGGATGGTGATTCGATTTCGACAGCTAACGCTTCGATTTCCAAAGTTGTTTCTTCTTCGATAGTTGTTGCTTCGATTTTAACATTTGGTGTTTCCACTTCCTCAATCGGCGTTCCGAATTCGATTGCTGGTGCTATCATTTCAACCTGGTTAGCTGTTGGTTTGGTTTCATCGTCACCAGTTGGCACAACAGATTCAGTTTCAAAATTTCGTTTTAACGTTTTAACATTTGGCGTTTCAACCTGGTCTTGAGAGATCTGAATCCCGCCTGCTGGTTTGTCTTCATCAGTAATAGGTGCTGCCATACACATCAGTTGTTGAAAAGCCTCTTTAAAAATACTTGAGACATCTGAAATATACGATGGGTTTAAAACATATCAGGCGCAAATTGAAAACTAGCACACGTTTGTTAATTATAGTTGAACTCCGATTGTATCAATATTTAATCCTTAAAAGAATCATAATTCAGAGTTACCTCTTTTATATAATTATTTAATTTATGGACCTCATACCTGTTTCTGGTTCTGACGATAGTAGGGAGGCCTCCAAGCTCACTTTATTTTCTTCATCCTCGCTCATTTCTCCTGACTCTGAGATGCATGGTGTTTTAATCAAAATTGTTATTGTAGCTTATATAAAAGTAGAAATGAGTTGGAATAAAATCAAAACTTACATTTCAAGAATTCACTGTGCCTTGCGTAGCACAAATGTAGAGATTGTTCAAAATATAAAACCAAAATCCTAGCTCTCACAAGTTCCCGATATAACGAGGAATAATGACCATACAATTTTTAGAATGGCATAGTGGCCTTTGTTTTCATGATCGCTGGTATAAGGTAGGGAAGTTAGCATCGGGTTTGCTTTCCACAAAGGAATCCTCTCCTTGCAATGCTCATGAAAAAGCATGGTTTTGTCATTGGTCTGGGTACCTGCTTTGACTCCTTTCTTTGTTTTATACCGAAAATCTTATATAAACGGTCTTTAACATTTGCTGACAGATTATAAGCTACCATGAATTCACTGCCACCCAAATTTATTGTCTACCAAATTGTTGGGAACTAAGGTATACCCTGACTATAAATTTGCACTAGGTACCTGAGTAGTAAATACGGGAATATATTTAATTTCTATTTTTGACGGCCCTTGCTATGTGTTGGTTCAGCCGAATTAATTATTATGTAATCAAGTTTATTTTTCTCGTTAGTTGTCAATGTCATCCGGCCAAACATTAAGCAACTTATATTGCAGTACCATTTATCAATTAGTATATCAAAATATGTCATTGTAATTTTGCATGGCTGAAATGTAACGCTTGATTTATATATATAATGATTAATTGAATTTTCAAATAAAAAAAATTTGATTGATAGTTTAAAACTATTTTCACTATATTGCAAACTTGGACAAAATTTTGTCTATTACACTAAGTGGAGACTCTCACTTCGTCCCCAGCAATCAAATATGATCGACCCACTCATAAGAGCGAAAAAAGATAACTAATATTTAATTTTTGTGTAATCGCTTTAGTAAAAGAGAAACCAACCGTCCTCATCCGTGTCAGGGTCAGAATCTTCATCCTCCGAGGAAAAACTGTAACACTGCCCCATGTGCGACTCTTTAAAGTTTCATTCTTGAAAGTAAGGTAAAATTATACATTCAGAATACTTGAAACAGAATAGCTCTGCTCAATAACTGAATAACTATACTTAATTTTTGATGCAAACAAAGAACAGTTATCACAACCAAAAAACAAATGTACATTGTACAAACACTACTATACCATGACAAAAAGGTTCGTCAATAAAGTATTAAACACTATAATGCGCACAGAGAGCGGGGACTAGCTACTATATAACTTATGATGTATTTAAAAGAATCATAATGTATATTTATCAGCACAAAAGTAAAAATGGATTGAGAAATATTTACATAGTTTTGTAAGCTGAACGTTGTAATTATAATAATGTCCGACCGATAGTAAAACAATCAATGATTAAAGTTTGATGAGGCGAAGGTTTGTATTAAACTAGAGACTCTAGTTTAATACACACCTCCTACTCTAGTAGAGTACAAACTAATGACGTAACCTTTCATTTAGAGATGTATGCTCCAGGCGCCAAGCTAACCAGCTTTTGGTATTTGATTGTCGGGGCCACAAGCAGGCTAGATTGAAACTAACTCTTCCCAGTTCCGTGTAGTGTATGTTGATGATGAGGTTGGAATGTGAATGGCATGACAGCAATCCAGACTCGGAGAAGTAGCAACTTAAATAAACCTCATAAAATGGTAAATTTCTGAGGTGCTAATTACTTAATTAGTAGGTAGGAGTGGAACTGGTTTTGTGAATGAGTTAATGAAAACAAATACAAATATTTAAATTTATATGATGTAGCATATCATTCACCAGTCACCACCAAACAAAGGCAACACATAAAATGAAGTGCGGTGGGTGCGGAATCGCACTATTGACCTTATACCGCACCTTTTCGAACAATCGGCCGTTATTCGTTTAATCAAATTTGTGCACTTCGCATCGTTGTAAAAAACGAAATTAAAAGAGAGTAAATCTTGGCAAACGAATAACTGATCGCCAAGCTATAGATCGCAATCCTTCAAGAAATTAAATTGAGTCACTTATTAGTCGCATTGGCAGTTGACACCTCACAGCAAGTAGACCAAAGTAGCTCTTGCCTGTGAAAGGTGCATCAACTACCCGCTGAAGCAGTGGGTTGGGAGTCCTACTGGGATCATTTGTCCGTAAAATATTTTACATTTTAGTTGCATTTGTCACGATTAGATGTATTATGGCTATCATAATTAAAGTTAGATAACATTATAGTCTGTAGGCATAGACTCAGTATAACACACTTTCTTCATGTTAGCAAATCATTTGGTGACCGTATTATACTCTACACAAAGAATTACAAAAAAAATTAGCTCACGAAAAATTCCATCATGTTTATCAATATGACAGTTTTTGGGAGTTCCAAATAATTTCTGATTATTCTGATTTCTTGCGACAAATGATACTGCACTGTTATTTATCAATATGTGTTTAAATAATTTAATAGGGTTTTTGTTTACAGGATATATTTATAGACTCCGTGATTTGGAAATTTGGTTTCAGTTTATCATGTACTTTGACTTTTATTCCGTTTTATTTCATTCACTACTTTCCTAGAGTATTTCGGCCAACTACTTAGCTATCATTGCTCAATAATCGGTTTGGTATCGACCTCACATACTTTTCATTCGCGACTTTCAAGCAGAATAAAGCAATCAGTGAATTTCTTAAAATTACAACACTGATTTTATGTTTTGAGTTTCGATAATATAATGAACACATAATTTTTTGTTACTATGTGCACAAAATTAGGAAATTTTCATTTTGGAAGTGCGGGGTCGAGATCTGATATCGACCGAAAATTACTAAAATAATCTAGCTGAAGAACTCTGAATGCTTAATGAATACCCTTGCAGGTACCACCCGTATTCACACTCAGTATTGAGTTTAATCATTTTCCAATACGAGATTGGGGACGGGTTCTATAATACACAAACAAACAAACAAATAATTTAATAATCGGTACCTAGCGTATAGCAATGAAATTAAAATAAACAATTTACAAATAATAATACGTCTCACTACTGGGCAACACTGGGCAACGCTTATGATACAACCAAATTGCAGAGCCACACTTCTCTCCTTTTCTGTGTTTGATATCGGGACACACTTCCCGATCGTTTGATACAACTGAGTGTAGACTGTCATAAGTTAGGAACGCCCACTATCTCGCCACGTAGACCACGTATAGTTATGCTAGTTAGTTTACTAAGACCAGTTTACAACACACATAACCCCGGCATGCGCAGGGATTATATTTCAATTTTTCCCGCGACGCGCGGGAAAAATTGATAATAATTTCGAGTGCGAAGCACGAGGAATTATTATGAAAATAACCCCGACGTGCTTTAGCACGAGGGGTTATTTTAATATAACTTAAGCTTGCCGGTGTTATGTGTTATAAACCCCTCCGGGTTAGTGCTAGGACCAACAAATTTTATATTTTACTCTTAATTCTTGTTATTGGAGGTAATCATCATGATTATTCGTAATGGAATTGAAGAAGTAATAGCCGTATATTGAAATTCATTAGAATTAGTCAGATAGAAGTATATAAAATTAGATAAATAGAATTTATAGAACCAATAAGGTAATCGATTTAATTCACAAAATCTGGATTCTGTAGTCCGAAAAAGGCTACTTTCATTAGCAAACAAGTTAATAGTAAAACTCAAAATAAACAATTATTTGAATTTAGGATTGTCCAAGATCTCGGTTCATCGATATGTAAAATTAAAACCAAAAAGGTAGCAGATTTAATACATCAAATCCGGAGTCTGTTATCAGAAAAAGGCTACTTTTAATAGCAAACAAGTAATTAGCAGGAGGAAACAAGTTTGCATGCTGGGTTTTGGAATATCTCGACGATTGGGTAGTCGGAATCCAAACACCTTCAGTCTGCACGGTGGGGATGCGAGAATGGTTGAAATTTCTTCTGCTGATAGCTCTTGTTCGAATCTGAAATTCAAAAAAATTAATTGAGCTCAATCATACTCATAGTATAAAGTTAAACTTAAGCATTGTAAATAATTGACATTTTAAGGTTGAAATTAACTAGCTGAAATTTCAAAAACTTAGTTAAACTGGGTTAATTATAATATTTTTATTTTTACCGTGTGTACTGGTTCAGGGCAGAGATGGAAGAGTGACCGGTTCTTTTCCTCATCTTTTCGGGGTGAACGTTATTCTTTGCCATCCTGTGTATTGAGGAGGGTCTGATAGATCGCAGAGAGAGGTTCCTGCCTTTGTGATCTATTTTAGCTTCTTCCATCGCTCTTTCGAATAGTTCTTTTGGGTAATTCTTCCCCACTACTCTCCGGTTACAGAACCACACTTTAGCTTCCTGTAAGTTCTTACATTTTTTCAAAGTTAAACAATGTTGAAGGAGTTGCAGTTTCGACTCAGGATCGGACACTTTGGGGTGAGATTTACTCAGAAACACTTGATAAACAAAGGAAAACGATCTCGAGTATGACTCGTTGATTGGATCATGAAAATGCTGCACCTGTTTCCGTTCTTTGTTAATGCTCTTCAAACCCGGTTGTTTATTCTTTGACCTGCGTTCTCTGTACCAAACTTCACACCTGTCTTTAAGCTTTGTGATCGTGATATCACCGGATTTAAGTTGTTTCAACTCATCTCCACCACGGAGCGTGAATATTTTGCACAACAGAAACATTACTGTGGTTAGCAGCTGAATGGGTGTGCTGATCCCGAATACTCCACTATCCCACAATCTTTCTTCCTCGGCCTCTGTGATGTAACCAGCCTTATTAGTTGGAGAACTGACATCAGACGCCTGTTTTTCTTTTAGCCACCCATCATACACTCGCCTGAACCGCTCGTACCGTTTGGTCACAAAAAGGTCTTGGTCGACGGACCTTTCCTTGAGCTTCCTATTCAAGGCAGTTATAACGGAATGCATTGAGCGGTATTTCAATTTCTCCCCCACGTCGCAAAGAAAGCGCTCCATTATGTAATTCAATCTGTCGTAGTCAACATCTTCAAAGGATAGATAGGGAAAGCTCGTGGTTTCCAGCCAGGTATCAAATTTGTTTTCTGCCCAATTGTTCACTTTGATGGTTGAAGCTGGTGTACGGTTTTGGAGAAGTTCCTCCACTCTAACATCAAACAAGGGGTTATCCTCCTCTGAGGCTGAACTAAGATCCATGCGCAATAACGGTCAAACGAAACTAATGAACAGGTTTTGGAACTGGTCCAAGATATTCAATAACAAGGAGCGTGCTGGAACTTTGCCAACTCCGGGCACGTGCCAAGCTGATCTATATTTCTTACTTTAGGTTATAGGTCACGTGTTATTTTTGACGAATGCGCGTCGCACTGGGAGGTCACGTGATACGTGTCATCAGGACACGTGACATTAATTATGCGCCGAACAGATATTCTCGTGGGAAGATTAAAACTAGCCTTATTCATGAAACACAAATTAATATCTGTTAAATAAATGAACCGGGTCGAACCAAATAGCGGGGCGGGATTATAGAAATTATGCCGGGGTTATTCATTCAGCGGGTAAAAACTAACAGCGGGAGCCGGGATTATCAAAATCTATTTAGCGGGAGCCGGGATTATCAGAATCTTATTCTATCCCGGAGGGGTTTATAACATCTGAAGGCCAGGGTGGCATGTAACACTTGTTTCCCAATGCCGTACAGTCTCTCAAGTCTGGTAATCGTAAAGTCATCCATGTCAGTATCAACATCTGTTGTTCTGATCTTGAATTTTACGTTTCAGATCATGATTCGACAGCAGGCATTTCAAATTTAATAGATTTAGCTGGACGTTCCCTGACTTTTATGCTAAATGGACTGCCCATTATGTGTTCCTTCTCCCACTTTATTACGATAATGTACTTTCCAGCTACTTCTGGGTTGTATCTACAAGAAATGGTCCGTTTCGCTCCCTCCCATTCACTAACTTGAGATTTGGCTTTTGGTGTTTTTACTTGCACACTAAGTGTACCGTGTCCAGCATGTTTTTTAAATATTTGGAAGTAGGTTAGATCACCCACCAAACAGTCCATTAAGCCCGGACCTTCTGCTCGTATCTTTTTCAGCGTTTCACGTTTCTCTTTTACAGTTGGTAACTTGACTTCAACCGCTTCAATTGCTAGTACTTGGACTTCAACAGTAGGTGTTTCGATTTTGATTGCTGGACGTTTTCTGATTTGTATTTTAAATGGACTGCCCATAATGTGCTCATCCTCCCACTTGATTTTTATAATGTACTTTCCAGCTACTTCTGAGTTGTAGCAACAGGTTACAGTCCGTTTGGCTCCCCTCCATTCACTAACTTTTACTCCCTTCCACTTTCTCAGTCGAGGTATGGCTAAGGGTTTCTTCAATTGCACACTTAGTGTACCTTGTCCGGCATCTCCGGTGAAGATTTGAAAGTAACTCTGATCACCGACAAAGCAGTCCATCAAGCCCGGACCCTCTGCCCATACTGGCCACGGCGTTTCAATTTCAAGAGCTGGCCACCGTCTTTCTATGTCCATAGCTATCGTTTCAACTTCGACAACCGGAGCTTCAGTTTTGGCAATTGGTGCTTCTTCTTCAATAACTGATCTTTCGTCAATTTCAACATCTGATACTTCATCTTCAACATTTGCTGTTTCGTATTCCATGGCTGCTGTTTCAACTTCAACAGCCGGTGCTTCGATTTCGACAGCTGGTGTTTCGATTTCAATTGCTGAACGTTTAATTCTGACTTGTATCGTGAATGGACTGCCTATTATATGTTCGTCATCCCACTTGATTTTGATAATGTACTTTCCAGCTACTTCTGGGTTGTATCTACAGGTAACGGTCTCTTTCACTCCCTTCCACTTTCTTACTCGAGCTTTGGTTTTAGGTTTCTTCAATTGCACACTAAGTGTACCTTGTCCGGCATCTCCGGTGAAGACTTTAAAGAAGCCCTGATCACCGACAAAGCAGTCCATCAAGCCCGGACCCTCTGCCCATATTGGCCACGGCGTTTCGATTTCGACATCTGATGCTAATTCTTCTTCAATAACTGATCCTTCTTTAATTTCAACATCTGATGTTAGAACTTCAACATCTGGTGATTCGCATTCCATGGCTACTGTTTCCAGTACAGCTTCTTCAATAACTGATCTTTCTTCAATTTCATCATCTGATGTTTCAACTTCAAAATCTGCTGTTTCGCATCCCATGGCTCCTGTTTCCAATTTGACTGCTGGTGCTTCGATTTCGACAGAAAGAGTTTCGGTTTGAACAGCTGGTGTTTCCACTTCGATAACTGATGTTTTAATATCGACACCTCGTGTTTCAGTTAAAGGTGTTTCATTATCAGTCAATGGAGCTCCGGTACATTTCAGCTCTTGATAAGTCTCTTGTAAATATTTCCTCGCTTGTTCTAAAAAGTCTTGTTCATCTGTCGAGTCATCTTCAACTGCTGCTTCGTTTGACATATCTCCGCCTTCAATCATTTTTCTTGTAAGTGAAATAAAGTCAAATACTTAACAAAAGTACCAAAGAGTTGAATTATTTTATTATTGAATGAAATTGAAAGCAATGTTGAAGCTTTGAAACAATTTATCAGAAAAGTCGAAATATTTATTCCTTTTTAGCTATTTGCTTTGAATAAGCTTCCCAGAAAATGATCCTGGAGGGGGTTTGCTTAAAACATATAAGTGATGCGAAAACTTTATTAAGCTTTCAAACTACTTTTGTGAATCGTCTTCAGAAAATGATGTATTACTCTGCACAAATAACAAATTTTAAATTTAATTTCTTCTTCTGTAGTTGCGATCGACAAATGAAACGCCAAATTTATTTAAACGAAATATTTCGGATGTTCGGCATCTTCTTCAGTCTGACATTACAAACAAATTTAATTCGTACTAGATGAAAAACAAAAATTGACATAAATTCAGTGGCGTAACGTTGCCTGTTGGTGCCCCCATCCCCCCTCTCTAAAAAAGTGTGTTTCTAGAGCAAAACGCGCAGTTTTGCTAGTACCGTAGTCAAGTTTTTCCAAATTGTCCCACATTCAAACGACGATTTGATGCCTCCCCCCCCCCCCCCCACACAGCGGGGTCGGTGAGAACCTTCGTTACGCCACTGCATAGATTTAAACTAAAATCTTTTTAAAAAACGAACGAAATTGAATGTTACAAACACAACAATTCACTTAATTCACTGATCATAAAATCATAAACACTAGTTAAAACGGCAAAAAGCGGGCTATGGAAGGCTAATGTTCTTAAAATTGGAATTTGTTGGTATTTCAGGAATTTATGTAAACATTGTGTAAACATTGTGTGCTTTCCCTCCAGTCTCCTCACAACAATAGCGGTTACCAATTAACATACTGTTTGTTAATGTTAAGTCCTGGTCCACATAGTTTCTATTGAGTTTCTCGAACAAAGTGGTAAACAAAGCATTTTAAAGCTTTGTGAGCAAGTGCTGCTATAACGTTAAGGAGGAAAACTATTTTGAAATGGAATCGCTAAACAAAATGATCAATTAATCAATATCTGATCTCTGTGGGAGTCAGATTATAAGTGTTTCTATTGGTTATTACCTAAAACTAAAAGCCAGTTACATAATACAATATTTCATAATCGAAATCAATTTAAAATCATAAACATAATTAACATGGACATTTATTTATCGTTATTTTATACGTATTAATTTTAAAATAGCCAAACGTTGTTGTTGTTAATTTGAGATTTTATTTTCATATTTAAAAAACGTCAAAAACAGAAACATTAATTTAAACTGATCAGAGCTCGTTGCAAGGTTATTAAGTTATTAATTCACTAACCCGGGCGGATATTGAAGTTAAACCAAAATGAATCAACTACTAATATGTTTCATTATAAATTAATATCCCATGCCAATTCAAAATGAGACGTTGTGCAAAATTGCGAAATGTGCTATGTGTGGACACGGGTAATGTAAAATTGTGCTTCCACGGCTATTGTTTCAAATTCAACATTTGTTCTTTCAACCTGGTCAGCTGGTGACTCAATTTCGACAACTGGCGTTTCTATTTCCAAAGTCTTTGTTTCCACTTCGACAGCTGGTCTTTTCTGTTCAAAAATATGTGGTGTTTGATTTCCAACAATTGGTGTGTCAGATTGGATTTCAACTAATTTTGGTGTTTTAACCTCAACAATCGGAGTTTCTTTTTCCAATGCCGTTATTTCCACTTCGACAGCTGATCTTTCGAATTCAACACTTGGTGCTTCAACTTCAACAGTTTCATGTTCGTCAGCGGTCATATAAACTTTTGCTGGTCGAAACAATCGTAAGAATCGTGCAAAAGTCTTAATTTTAACAGCTTGTGGCTCCACTTCAAGTTTAAGTTCTGCTTCAACATTTGGCGATTCTATTTCGACGGCTGACCTTTCATATTCAATTGCTGGCATTTCGATTGCAACGATTGGCGTTTCTATTTGCAAAGTCCTTATTTCCAATTCGACAGCTGGTTTTCCAAGATCAATATTTGTTGTTTCGATTTCGACATAATATGGTAATTCGAGTTTGACGGCTGGCGTTTCATAATCAATTGTTGGCGTTTCAATTTTAACAACTGTCGTTTCTATTTCCAAAGTCTTAATTTCCACTTCAACAACTGGTCTTCCGAATTCAACATCTGGTATTTCAACTTCAGCAATTGGTGTATTAACTTGGACATTTGGTTTTTCCACTTCAACAGCTGCTGTTTCAAATTCGATAACTGGCCTTTCTTTTTTCAATGCCGTTATTTCCACTTCGACAGCTGATCTGAACAGTTCAACATTTCTTTTTTCAACTTCAACAGTTTCATGTTCGTGAGCTGGCTTATCAACTTTTGCTGGTCGAAACAATCGTAAAAATCGTGTGAAAGGTTTTATTTTAACAGCTTGTGGTTCCTCCTCGGTGAGTTCGAGTTCAACTGCAACATCTGATAAGTCGATTTCGACAGCTGGTGTTTCAACTTCTTCAGCTGGCCTTTCGATTTCCATGGTTGGTGTTTCTGATTCGACAACCGGTGCTTCGATTTCGTTATCTAGTACCTCGTTTTGGACATTTAGTGCTTCAGCTTCGACTTCTGGTGTTTCATCTTTGACAGTTGGCATTTCAATTTCGACATTTGGTGTTTCATCTTCGTCAGCTGGTCTTTCGATTTCCATAGTTGGTGTTTCTGATTCGACAACCGGTGCTTCGATTTCGTTATCTTGTCCCTCGTTTCGGACATTTAGTGCTTCAGCTTCTACTTCTGGTGTTTCATCTTTGTCACTGTCAGCTGGCATTTCAATTTTGGCGGCTGGTCGGAACAATCGAAAAAATAGTCCCGGTTTCTTTCTTTTGAGAGCTGTTTTTTTGGTCCCGGAAGCGGGTGGCTCCACTTCGACGGCTGATGTTTCGAGTTCAACATCAGGAAATTCGATTTTGATGGCTGGAATTTCAGTCTGGTCAACTGGTACTTCATCGATTTCAATATATGGAACTGTTTCGTCCTCGTCAGCTAAACTTTCGATTTCTAACGTCCAATCAAAAATTTCGATTGGACGATCAACTTTGATTTTGAATGGACTGCCTTTTATGTGTTCCTTCTCCCACTTGATGTTGATTATGTACTTTCCAGCTACTTCTGGGTTGTATATACAGGTAACGATCCGTTTCGCTCCCTTCCATTCACTAACTTGAGATTTGGCTTTTGGTGCTTTTATTTGGACACTAAGTGTACCGTGTCCAGCATGTTTTTTAAATATTTGGAAGTAGGTTAGATCACCCACAAAACAGTCCATTAAGCCCGGACCTTCTGCTCGTATCTTTTTCAGCGTTTCACGTTTCTCTTTTGCAGTTGGTGACTTGATTTCGACCGCTTCTTCTCCAATATTCACCACTTCCGCTACAACTTCAGATATAATGTCTTCAACTTCTAGTGGTTCTTCTTCGACCTCTGTAGTGTCGTCTTCCAGGGCTAGAATTTCAATTCCAGCCGCTACTGTTTCAATTCCAGCAGCTACTGTTTCACTGAAACTTTCAATTCCTGCTTCTGCAGTTTTAACCAGGTCAAACAACCAGCTGACACCCGCTGTTTCAACTACCACTACTGGATCTTCGATTTCCGTGGCTTTAGTTTCCAATTCAACAGCTGTTGCTTCGGTTTCAACAGCTGTTGCTTCTATTTCAACATTTGATGTTTCAACTTCAACATCTGGCGTTGTGAATTTCATGGCTGGTGTTTCCGATTCGACTGCTGGTGCTTCGATTTCGACATCTGATGCTTCTTCTTCAATAACTGATCTTTCTTCATCTGGTGTCGGAGTATTAGTCATTGGAGCTCCGATACAATTCAGCTCTTGATAAGTCTCTAGAAAAAACTTCCTCGTTTGTTCTAGAAACTCTTCCTCGACTGTCGATTTGTGGCCATATTCTGCCCCTGCGTCTAAAATCATCAATAATTCTGCATCCATCTTTTATTCTTCTGAGTAAAATAATATTAGATAGTTTGTTGAAGTACCAATTAAAAGCACGTAAATTATTCTTATACGTATCTATCACAAGTAGAAAAGGTTAATGGGCACGTGCCACGTACCTGGTACCTATCATCAATTATTATCAATTATGGTCAAACCGGTTTAGAGTTAGGGACCGGAAACGGTAAGATATCAATAAATTTTCCTGTTAGCCAGATTTTTCCCGACTGGAAACGCGCATTTAGAGGATGTCAAAACTTACAGGAAGTGAATATAAAATCTTATTTTGGCAGCCCACAGAAATTATTATTTCTTTTTTTTTTCTTCAAGAAAGTGTCCTGTACTAGTTTCATATGAAATTTACAACATCGAAAACATTATCAAAAAAAGATGAAACAAAATGGCTATTGTTCTTTAATTTTAAAGTTGGGATCTGCTGGAATTTCAGGAATTTATGTTAAAATTGTGTAAGACTGCTCTCCCTCCAGTCTCCTTTGATTTGGCATCAATAACATAAAAACTGTTCCTTTATTTGCCACCGTAATTTTACGGCCTATGTTGTATAATGCCATTATACAACATAGGCCGTAAAATTACGGTGGCCAATAAAGGAACAGTTTTTATGTTATTAATGTTCAAAAAAGAGTAACGATTGAACTTCTCAAAACAAAAACGAATCTCTGTGGGAGCCAGATTACAATAATTGTAATAGTTTTCAGGCATTTAAGCTTGTACACACTTAGAATTAGCCAATACAAATTTCAATGAAACAGTAGCAGCTGAAATTGAAATGCTAGCCCTGGATTGAGACAAAGAAAAAACTTAAGTCGTCATCAGCGGACTCATACCATCCCGACCCTGTCCTGGAATATGCTAGAAATCCCGAAAACAACTCCAGGAGATTTTAACAAAATGTTAACCAATTTGTTACACGCGCATGGTACTTACACAATTACACACTTACACAGCTACACTCGTTTACTATGACCTTGTTACCACACCATCGTGGTAACATGTTTTACCATGGTAACACTAGGTGTTGACTTTGTAACAGGTAACATGTGT